AGTACAACTTAAAGGATAGCACTTACATAATATAGCAACCTTCGCTTCGCGGGCAAAATCTTTCGCACTCTTCTTAAAGCTGCTTCAACGGCTCTTTCCTCTTCTTTTACGGCTTAACTAGCAGTTCTTTTTACTTAAGAAGAAGCTACTAATAAGCAAGACGATAAAGATGATCCTTCGGCTTTTATTAACTTTAAAGAAGCTTTAGCTTAATACTAAGCTCTTTTTTAATCTTAACGAAAGGCCGCTAAGCTTAAGAAGCTCTTCGCAGACATGAAAATCCGCAACGAAGAGCTCGATAAAAGCGCTAGCGAACAAAAGACCTTCGTTAAAAAAGCTAAAAAAGAGGCCCGGCGAGCTCGAAAGGAACTAGACCAGCTTTAAGCGGTCTTGCTAATTACGAAACGCTCGTTAGAGCTTTTTTAAATGTCTTTCGAAGATAATTCCAAAAGCAAGGAGCTATACAAGCCTTCGGTTCTTTAGACCACTCTTTTTACTTATAAAACCGCTAACTTTCGCCGCTTCTTCGCCGACGACGATAACGAACTACTTTCTCTTTATAAGCTAACTAACCTTCGCACTTTAGCTAAATTCAACACTTTTAAAGCTTCTTCCTCAGCTTTTTAAGGTCGCGTTCGTATCGAGCGGATCTTTAACCTTAAACAAAAGCTTTTAAACGGCGTAAGCTATCGAGCACGTTATTAGCAAGCCCGCGTCTTTAACAACTTAAAAGCTTTCGATGAATACTTTTTTATAAAACGCTAGCGCAAGAACTACGTCTTTAACTAAACCGAAAGAACAGCTTACTTATTCTTAGCCCTTTTAATTATAGATCGTAGCAATTTCGTAACCGCTTCGGAACTCGTTTAGATCGCTTTCGAGTTCTTGAACGACTTCGTTAAAAAAGCTAAAGCGTCAATTAAGTTCGAAAAACTTTATATAAAGCTTAATTAGCAATTTTAAGACTTTTACTTTATTTTCTCGAAGCTTGCCGCTATTATCGAAATTAAAGACGAAGACCGATTACGTAAAGCCTTGCGTTTTAAGATCACTAAAACGCTGCGCGACTAGCTTTATTTAGAATTTGCTAAGACTACAACCTTTAAGGACTTTTAAACCGCCGTCTAACAATTAGCTATTAGTTAATACGCGTCTGCAAGGCTTTACGACGCTTTATAAGCTAAGTACAACACTTAATTCGCGAAAAGCTTTTATAATAAAGCTCGTAACGAATCCCGCTCGGCTTAAAGAGCAGCGGTCAAGCAAATCACTTATTACGAGAACCGCTAAAGTAGCTTAGCCCTCGTCTTTTTCTTTACCTTTTAGCGCTAAACCTTTAACAACTTTAGCGCTAATGCAAATCGATCTAATCGATTTAACAAATTCTCTTCTTTCGGAAACGCTTTTAAATCAGCGATTAAAACTTTTAAATCGTCCTGCAAAAACTCGAATACTCCGAAGCTCTTTCGCTATCACTTAATCAACGAGATAGAATACAGCGTTAGACTTAAATACGGCTCTTATTCGGATAATTCGGACGATAAGCCTTACTCCGACGCTTTTAAAGATCACTAAAAGCTCTTTTTTGTTAACTCTGACGCTCTCGATAATAAAGGAAACGTCGAGGCTTAAGCAAAGCTTCTTTCTTAAGCTAGCTTCGAGATATGCGATACTTCGACCTTACGAAGCTCTTTAATAATAAAGCTATGATTATACTCGTTACTTTTATCAAGAATGGCTTCTCGTATAAGGTATTTGCTTTGCTCGACTCAAGAGCTAATAAATACGCGCTGATTGACTTAGCGCTACTCAAATCACTTTCTTTCTTTTTTAAACTTTTAATTCAACCCTTTTCGGCTTTATTCTTTATCAAATTATATAATAGAGCTCGTAAAGCTATTATCTTACATTTTGCACTTCTTAACCTTACGGTTAATAAGCGCGTTTAATCTTTTACTTTTTTTTTTATTATTAACTTTAGAAATCACAACGTGATCTTCGGACGAGCATAGTTAGCTAAGCATTAGATTCTTTTTAATTGCGCTCGCCGCAAGCTTTATTAGCTTCGTTTTAACCCTTCGACCGTTACTTACGCTAAACCTATTAAGATTAAACACTTTAATTAGCGTAAAGTAAACGCTCGTCATTAACACGACGCTAACAAGCGTGATCGAGCTTTAGACCGCTTTTAAAGAGCTTACGACGCTAATTCATTCGTAAAATATAATTCACGAGCGGATCAAGCAGTAATAATAGTCGCTAAATCACCTTTTTCTCTTCAGAATCGTTTCCCTTCCGCTTTTTCTTTTAAGATCGTTAAACCCTTTTCTTTTATTCACTTTCTCGTAGAGCCGTCATTCTTTCGCTTTACGAAAAACACTTTTTTTAAAGATTACGTTAAATTAATGTCTTAGATGAACCGTAAGCTTGTGTTAACCGATATCGCTTCCGTAGAACCTCTTTTACCCGCTAAACGCTCTCGTTAAACGTTTAAGCACAAAATCAATAGAAACTTTAAAATCAACGGCGTCTCCGAGCACGTTTTCTATATGATCGCTCGCTAAAAGGACGTAAAACTGTTCTTTACGTCTTTTTACGAGCTCGATTGCTTGATCTCCGAGCGTCAAACGATTGCTTTTACTTAAGCTAACTACTAAGCAGCGCTAACACGCTTTATTAACGGCTTTATCTTTGCTATTAACCTTGCAGCGGAACTATTAAAGCTCATTAACGACCTTTTTATCCTTTTCGAATACTTCGATTATACATACGTGTTCTTTAAGGCCGCTAGCAACGTGCTAGCATTACACAAGCCTTACGACTATAAAATCGAGCTTTTCGAAAAGGAAGAGAAAGCGCTTCGGTATTCATTATTATATAAGATATCGATCCTTAAGCTAAAGCTTATTAAAGCTTACTTTATCGACAATCTCAACAAAGGTTTTATCGAACCTTTAATAGCGCTATTTGCAGCTTTAGTCTTGTTTGCTAAAAAGCAAAACGGTTCCTTCCGCTTTTATATTGACTTCCGCGCGCTAAACAACCTTACTCGTAAAGATCGATACCTGTCGGTATATCCATATCGACCTTAGCTAGCTAGTAGTAGTAGTAGTAGTAGTTGGGGAAGCTCACCCGTGAACCATGGTTCACGGGCCACTTGGCATGCCTCGCTTAGCATGTCAACAGTCAAGGGACCCCTAACTTGATAAGTAGACCTATTAATTAGCTAATGCACGTGATTCCTTTTAGTCCTATAAAAGGAATCAGCTCCTTTGAATCTTAAAGAGCAGATAGAATTCAGAAACCTTATCAACCGAGTGTTTTGCAATTGCAAGTACTTTGACGACCGTTACGACCTTACGAATATATATTCTTAATCGCTTAAAAGCAATCCAACACTAATCAGTGGTTGATTTACTATTAAGTGATCAATCATAAAGAAGCTAAGACTCTATAGCGAAGATACTTTTTAATACGATACCTTCCTCCTTTTATAACGGAAGAGCGATTCCGTACCAAGTCGCTTTCTTACACCTCGATACCTTTCCTTTATAACGGAAAAGCGATTCCGTACTAAGTCGCTTGCTTATACTATCGATCTTTCTTTATTCTTACGGAAGAATGATTCCGAACTAAGTCACTTCTATACAACCTTTAAAGCTATAGAGCCGCGCTTGCTATATACAGCAAACTTAACCAATAAGATCGATCTACGTACGAATAGACAACAATTATAGCCGATCGAGCAACTAGACCTCCGGGTAAGGAGTCTAGCCGATAAAGAGCAATAAGGTATTATACCTTTCGAGTCTTATCACTACTTACGGAACCCTTAGCTATTTAGCCAAAACAAACCTTATACCTAGGACTCTTAAGCCTTTCGGAAAGGCCAGATAACGAGATGTCGAGCATCTCATTTGACTTAAACGAGCTACTATACGCAAAGCTAGACAATGAAATTACGGCCCGAGCAATAATAAAGGACTTCTTAGACGCGAAGTGTAAAGGGCTAAAGGATTACGACTTATAAAGCTTATTCCGGCACGCTTTTTTACGCTAAGATTAGACGAGTTTTACGATGACGAAGGACAATACGAGACGAGGCTTTAAGTTTGCTACTTTTATTAGCTTTAAGGAACACTTGCTGTCTAAAGGCGTATGGTACCCTCTAAAGCAAAGGGGCTACGCTAATAAGATAGTCAAGCTCTTAAACGATGAGCAGCAACACTAATAGACCTTTTAAGAAATAAAGGAGCAACAGGCAACACCTTTAAGCCTCGATTTAAGGTGGACCGTCGAAAACCTTACGGACGACGACGACGACGATATTACACCTTAATTACCTCTACCCCCGCGCAATCTAAAAGGGAAGGAAAAAGAGACCTTAAGTAAGAAGGAAAAAAGGGAAGAGATCCGAAGGTTACAGGAAGAGTTTTTAAGAGAAAAGAGCGATATAGAACGAAATATAAAGACTATAATAAAGCAAATAGCGGAATTACGAACTTACGCTATACAATCTAACGAAGAGCTACGACGAAGCACTTCAACGTACTCGACGCTTTTAATTTATTAATCGCTACGCAATACGCCGACCATACAAAAGCTAAGATCGCCTTAGCGCTCTTTAAACCCTTTTCTTAAAAGCTACACTTAGTTTTCTAAAAAACTTAGACTTAAAAGCAACAACAACAAAGGTCTTAAGATCATTAGCGGATTAGACAATACTCGAGGCCACGGGAGCTATACGCTAAAGAAAGACTCGCCAAAACCTGAGAGCATTCCGAATAAAATCAGCTCTTATTAAGGATAACGTGCAGATTTCCGTGCTTAACCTCAACAATCCGAAAGGAAGATCTAGCACCTTCGGACGTACCGGCAAGCTATCCACACCTCTTAAGAGGCTACGTATTAATAAAAGAGAGACCAAAGGTATAAGAATCGCTAAGAACGCGCTTAAGGGTACGGATATCATTAAGCTAAAGCCTTAGCTAGTAACCCAAATGGCCTTAGCGATCTTAACGATAACCGACGAAAAAGAAACGGAAGAGATTAAGAAAGAGATCGAAGCTACGGGTACGGAAAGGGTAAAAATAAGCCTTTTAAACTACAAAAAGGATTCGGAAACGGACCTTCAAAAGACCCCGGATTCGGAAATAAGCCTTTTAAAGACCTTAAAAGAAGACGGACCACCGGCAATTATATCGATAACCTCTTACCGATCCGATCATTAGCTAAGCACAATACGCTTGCGTACGGCACTCTAAGCGCCCTTAACGATAATAAAGACGATTTCCTTAAGCTTAAAGCAACGGACCTTCACTTAAGAGCAAAAGAGTTAGCTTTGTTTGCAAAAAGCTTTTTTAAAGAGCTGAAGTATTCGAGACCCGACGATGATTTTAAAACCTAATTGAGTATTTTCGCTAACTAAGCAAATCGGTACGGCTTGATATCCGACGACTATTTAATAGCGTTCTTAATTATGCTTACGAAAAAGGCTATAACCTTCTATTATAATCATGTGATCAAAGCTAAACTTTTAACGTTTAAAGCAAACGCTATTGCTATAAAAGACCACTTCGAAACCGACTACCGGCGGTAAGCAAAATACGACCGCTAAGAAGAAATTTCGCTAGATTTAGTCAAGAAAGAAAATCTAAAGACCTCGCTTAGCGAGTGCTTTAAGAAGCTCGTTAAAGAGCTTAAGAGCATTCAAGGCTCTTTACGACCAGGTTTAAAGGATGATCGAAGTCTTGCTAACAAGCTGTATTCAGCTTATAAAAACGTGCTAAAGACTACGATTGCACGAATGAATCTTGCTTTTATCTTTACCGCGGCAATTGCTAATATTCGTCGAGCAATTGCCTTTGCAACTGAAACCTCCCGACCTCCCGTTAAAGCTAAAGCTTACGCGAGCTTTAGCGAGCCATACGATCACACCTGCTCTCATAACACCTTAAAGGCTGACTCCGATTTAAACGAAGAATACGAGTGCTTTATTCAAGACCGCCAATACTTCGAAAGTAAAAAAGCTGCCAAGGCTATTAAAAGTAAGAAAAGGTGTTTTGTTTGCAAGAAGCCAAGTTGCTAGAGCACCAACCACACCCTCGACGAGCGCAAGGCTTCCGTAGCCAAGTTCTAGAGCTTTAAAGACGCAAAAAAGGTGACGAAAAGCAAATTCTCTTAATATATAGCGTCGATCGAAGGTTTGCTACTTGTATCTACGGAAGAATTCGATCAGTTTATCGCAAGCCTACTAGACGAGCCGCCCGAATCGAGCAGCTACGTCAACATGTCAAAAGGTTTTATGACTACCCACGGCACCTTTAACGCTAACGAAGTATATAAGCAACTAAAGATTCAGACGGCATTCCACGCCCTTACTAGCCAAATCGAGACCTAAAACGTGCTTACGAGCAAAGCAGAGACTTACATAGCTTTTAAGTACTTTAAAAAGGTGTTTATAAGCTTTATGATTGACAGCGGAGCAGCTAATTTCTTTACCGCTAGCTTGCCTTAGCTGCGAGCACTCTAAAAAAGATACTTCGAAGTCTAATTAAATACATTTCGAGCAAAAGAGAAGTCCGTCAAATACGGCATCGGCTTTGCCACTTTTATTAAAGCAGTTACCTTGGAAACGCTCTTAAGTCAAGTGGAGTTCTACGTTATAAAGAGCGACGTACCTTTCTTATTCTTATTAGCTGATATAGACAAGCATAAAGTGATCTTAAATAACTTGCGGAACTTGCTAGTCTAAAAGAAGAAGGAAATACTAATAGTAAAGATGTTTAAACACGTATAGATGCTATTAAGTAAAAAGCGCGCTGCTACTTATTATAATACCGAAAGCGAGACCGTCTATTATTACCTTACGGAAGAGCAATTAAGGACTATTTACAAGCGTTTTGGCCATCTTTCAGCAGGTCGATTTGCTGCTGTTCTTAAAAGGGCCGAGCACGAATTTAAACGGGATTTGCTTTACAATATCTAAAAGTTTTGCTACTATTGCTAAGTCTTTAAGCGTTCCTTTAAAAGATTCAGTATTAAGCTTAAAGACGATACTGACTTTAATAATACGGTATACGTGGACGTAATGCACCTTAACGGCAAGAACGTATTGCACGTCGTTTGCGATTCTATTAATTTTCAAGCCGCTATCTTTTTTAAAAGCATATCCGCATAGCACTTACTTAAGGGATTCAGTAGATGCTAAGTCAACACTTACGTCGAACCTTTTATAAACGTCGTGCACGATCCCGAAACCAACTTCAATTTAATAACGTTTCGAAGCTACTTTAAAAGTATTAGCAGCACCTTAAAGCAAATGCTTATAAAAGCCTATTATAGCGTCGAGCTAATAGAACGCTACTACGTACTTGTGCGACGCGCTTTTGAGATCGTTATAAAAGAGCTTTTAAAAGCCTTAAGAGAAGACCGGCTTCAAATAGCTATCAAAACCATCAACGACACGGCGAGACCTAATGGCTTGATCCTTACGCTTCTCGTTTTTAATACTCTATCGAAGCTAACGGAACAAGATCGACTTGCCGCGTCTTACTAAGAGCGTGCTGCTGCTATTAACAAGGCTATAAAAGAAGTACGAAAATGCTACGCCGCGAAGCAAGTTAAGGACGCGCTCAAAAGGAGGAATAGACTAATTACGGAGCATACCTTAGACCTTTTTATTGGTTCACGGGTACTCGTATAGCGGGAAAACCAAAGGTAGAAAGGCCCTTTTCAGCTGCTTAGCAAGCAAAAGCACACGTGCATAGTGGCATGTCCGAGGCTTACGGAATTCAGGTCAACCTTAGTAAAACCTTACTATTTTGAAGTTGAAAAGCTGCTAAAAGAGTTGCAAGTACTTGAGGTAAAAGCGGAAGAAGAAAAAGATAGAAGCGAAAGCGAAAAAGAGCTAGAACCGCGAAATTCGCTTAAACCTCAACATTCGCTTAATCCAAGAAGCTCGCTAAGATCAGCCCCTAACCCTCAACTTATCAATTCTTAAAGATCAACAATACTAATAGTCCAAATACCTTACTAGAAGTACGATCCTAGTATCCCGACCGTGCTCGACGAAGAAGAGAGCGATTCTTACGTTCTATTTACTAAGGATTTCGAAGTGTTGATTACCGACAAAGAACGCCGAAACCATGAGCTTTTAGCTAAGCTGCGCGCTAAAAGGATCATCAAGAGCCTTAAGGCACCATTTCAAAAGTCTAAAGCAAAGGAATTAGCTAGATTGATAGCTTAAAGCATCTTTTAAGTGATCTCGAGCACCGATTTACGCGCTAAAAGCGCTAAGATCTTCGGATCTAAGTTTGTTAATAAGATCAAAAGCAAAAGAACACTTACGCTATACGAAAAGTCTCGTATAGTAGTCCAAGCCTTTTAAGATAAAAGCAAGACGAAGGTATTCATCGAATCACTTACGGTGTAGCGAGCGGGCCAAAGACTCTGTTGTGCTTTAGCTCTTTCTCTAATAAAGGATTACGGATGTCAAATCTGTAATAAAGATATCACGCAAGCTTACACTTAGTCAAGCACGAAGCTTATACGAATAATCGTCGTGCGACTATTTAAAGAGATCACTTATCGATTCCCTTCCGGCATCTTGTTCCTTATGATTAGCCTTTTATATAGCATCCTCGAAGCAAGAACGCATTAGTATAAGCGTTTTTCAAAGCACTTTATAGATAACCTCGGCATAAAGCAATCGAGCTTTGACTCTTGCTTCTTTGTATTAATTAATAAAAATCAATTAAGAATAGCTGCCTTATAGACGGACGATGTTCTTATGGTTATTAATCGAGCTATAAAAGCAAAGGAAAAGAAGGAGCTGGTCAAATCCAAGCTAAGGAGCAAGGAAATAAAGATCTTTATACACGCCGAACCGATGATTTTTAATAGATGCAAGCTATCTTTAGATAAAGATAGGTTCGGACTGTCAGTTAAGCAAAAAGGGCAAGGTAAGAGACTTGCGGTAATCAAGCTCGATTCAGCTATACGGGCTAAGGAGTACCTGGAGCAACGTGCCCGAAAGGCGTATTTAGCTACTATTTGCTACTTAAAGGCATCTTGCGCTCTATCGATAGCTGCCTAGCACTAGGAACCGAAGGACGAGGACTATAAGGCTCTTAATAAGGTGATCTAGTAGCTGATTAATTACTTAACTCGAAAGATCTATTACGTGCTTTTAGACTTGAAGACTGCGAAGCTCTTTATGTTCGTAAATAAAGCGTTTGCTAACAACGCTAACCTTAACTCTTAGATCGGTTTCGTAGCTATCTTTAGCAATAAGGCTCACGTAAGTAAAAACGAGTTCACTCTAACGGGTAACATCCTTTATTAAGTGTCACAGAAGTGCAAGAAGGTGACAAAGGCGGTACTAGCCTTTAAGCTATACGCTATATCCTTAGATATCGATATAGCTATTGCTATATCGACTATCTTTGCTTAAATCATAGCTTAGCTAAGGATCCTTAATTTCCTCGTAGTTATGTACATTAATTCTTACTCGCTTTACGAGTGTATAATAAAGCTAGGAACTACTAAAGAAAAGCGCTTGATGATCGATATTATAGCTATTCGGGAGTCATACGAGAGGCGGGAGTTATTTAAGGTACGCTAGATCGGAGGAAAATCCAACCTTGTTAACGCTATGACTAAAGTCGAAGCTAACACTTTTTTGCAAGAGTTAGTTTTGACCAATACCTTAAAAGTACAAGTAAACGGGTGGATAGAAAGACCGCTATAAGAAAAAAGAGAGTGAAGTTTAGTAAAATGAGATTGTTTTTCTTTTATTTGATCACCTTCCTTCCTTTTTCGGTCGATATAGTAGTTAGCAAAGCACTGCTTGCCAAAAAGAAAGTTGCCGATATCGGTATATCCATATCGACCTTAACTAGCTAGTAGTAGTAATAGTAGTAGTTAAGGAAGCTCACCCGTGAACCATGATTCACGAGCCACTTAGCATGCCTCGCTTAGCATGTCAGCAGTCAAGGGACCCTCAACTTGACAAGTAGACCTATTAGTTAGCTAGTGCACGTGATTCCTTCTAGTCCTATAAAAAGAATCAGCTCCCTTGAATCTTGGGGAGCAGACAGAATTCAGAAACCTTATCAACCGAGTGTTTTGCAATTGCAAGTACTTTAACGACCGTTACGACCTTACGAATATATATTCCCAATCGCTTGGAAGCAATCCAACAATACCCTTTCCTTTTAATCGATAAGACCTTCGCACGTCTCTTAAGAGCTAAAATCTTTACGAAACTCGATATTCGGCAAGCCTTTTATAAAATACGGATAGACTTAGCTTTAAAAGAGCTCATAACATTTAAAACACGCTACGGTGCTTACAAGTGCAAGGTTCTCTTATTCGGACTAATCAATAGACCCGCTACTTACTAACGCTATATAAATGACCTTTTCTTCGACTTTTTAAATATCTTTTGCACGGTATATTTAAACAACATCTTGATCTATTCTTTCGACCTTTTAAAGCACGCTTATTACGTCCGCTAGGTTCTTTAACGACTCGACGACGCTAGCTTTTAAGTTGACATTAAAAAATGCGAATTCAGCATTATTAAGGTAAAATACTTAAGCTTTATTATTTTTACCGAAGGCTTAAAGATAGATCCGGACAAAACGTCGATAATAAAGCATTAAGCGCTTTTTATAACCGTTAAAAGTGTTTAAAGCTTTTTTAGATTTTACAACTTTTATCGCCGATTCATTCGAAATTACGGCGTAATCGCAAAGCCTTTAATGCACTTGACTAAAGCTAACGTTCCTTTTTCATTCAATTCTTAGTATTTAAAAAGCTTCGACCTTTTAAAGCTCGCTTTAACTATTGCGCTAATCTTATAGCATTACAACTAAAACCTTTTTTATATGCTAAAGACTAACGCTTTAAACGGCGTAGTCGCTTTAGTCCTTTCTTAAAAGCATAGTTCCGACTAGCTACTAGTCGCTTACTATTTTAAAACCATAGCTCTCGCTAAGCTCAACTACGTCGTTTACGATAAAGAGATGCTGGCTATCATACGCTCTTTTAATAACTTTCGCGCCGAACTCGCCGGCTCTTTTTATTAAGTTTAAGTAATCATCGATTATAAAGCTTTAAAGTACTTTATGACTTCTAAGACCTTTAACGCTCGTCAAGCACGCTAAGCAAAGCTCTTCTCCGACTACAACTTTATTATTACGTACAAACCAAATAAAGACAACCCTTTAGCTGACGCGCTAACACGTCGCATTAAAGAGCTCCTTTCTTAAAACAGCCTCAAGCGCACCTAACGCTTGCAAACGCTGCTCCGCGCCGACAACGTTGACTTACGACTCTTGACCGACGAGCTACGCCGACTTACGCTTTTAAAGACCGCCGTCACTATCGAAGAGA